AAACTCGCTCAACAAAGATCGCATGTCCTGGGGCCAAAATGGGCCAAGCACGGTTCTTGAATGGATCTCCTGATCGCACTGGTGGCTACTTGAACTCTGCAGGATGTTTCAACATCGGCATTTGCCCGAACAACATAAGCGAATCTGCGAATCATCGAGCCTGGCAGCTGCGCTCCAAGCGCTCGCAGGTCACCTGCATGTAACACAACATTGCCATGCAAACGAAGGGAGGTACGGTACGTGTGGGGCACGGCAGCTACAAGACGAAGACAAATACTTCTTGCAAGCTTTGGGCTGCTTAACATGCGAATTTCCACGCCAAGAACAAACAGCAGCTCGCCGAGGAGACTTGATGCAAGAATGATCTGGAATCCTGTCGCGATTTCATGCCATAAGCCATAGGCCTTGAGATCCTCCAACGGCATGGAGTTCAAAAGTCCCGCCTGTGCAGAGCAACGACAAAGCAAAACTTGCAGCATGTCGCCTGGCCTCGTTCATGGCTTGGGGCATGGCAGCTGCCGTGGCACTCTGGCCCAGGAAACTTCGATGTGGGATGTGAAAAACGTTACCAGGACTTCCTGACATCATGCATTGTGTGTTGTTGTGGTTGGTGTTTGCGCAAACAGCTGTGCTGTTCGGTCTCTTTGGCGTTAGAGTCAACCAACGTTGTTGGAATGTTCCCTGAGCCAAGGAAACCCAAACATATCGATAACAGTTCTGCTACTCAACAGCGGCGAATCTAACAAACAACGATGTCGTCTAACAGAATGCACAGGTGTGGAACTCGAAAATTCGAGCTCCGTACTTCAAAAGAACATGGAAGAATCATCAAATGTCCACGTTACCAAAACCCAACACGGGATTAATTCATCCAGCAGATCAGCCTCTTGCATATGAATATCATGTTCAACTCCGATCACTCTGTTCCTACCCCAGGCATTCGGAAACACTATGTTTTGCGGCAATGGCGGTTAACGAAACATCCGAAAGCTAAGTCGAGCACCTAAAAACAATCGCAGGTCATCTCAAATGCCCGCAATTGAAAGAACGCGCCGATGAGACCGTCTACGACGTGTGGTCTGGTGGTTCGTCGAAGCTGGGAACACTTTGGATCTGTTGCTCAAACAACAGGTGGATGAACTGGAGCTCGGCCGGTTTTCCAGCTCAGATCCAAGCGCCTCCGGCGGAAGTTCCTGCAACCTCCTGCCATGACGGACGCAAGCAGGAAAGCCCTCAAACCCAACCCAAACTCCAACCCAACTCCAACACTCCACCTACACTCCACCTCCAAAGCCGGTAAACCCAGCAAAAGCCTCTCAAAGGGCCTTGAAAGCTTTCGGAGCACAACTTCGGGTCAGCTTGAAGCTGCGGCTTGCCCCAATCCTCCAAGCCCAAACCGCTGAGAGTAATGAAAGCTGGCATAAGCCAAAGGAGGTACAGAGCAAAGGGTCGAAGCTCCAAAAGGCACGACGAAGCCTTGGAAAGCTCCTCCTCGTCGTCGCAAGGCGTCGCAAGGCCTCACAAGGCGTCGCACACCATGGCCTGTGTGGGAGATGGGAGATCGAGGCTTGTGCTGAGGCTCCTGCAACCCGAATCCCAGGTCTGGAGGTTGCGCGAAGCACATGGCAAGTGGGCCGCAGAAAGCAGCTGCTCCTAAACTAAAGCACAGCATCATGCGCTATGCGATTCGGAAGCTTCCCCTTGCTTGTCGGGCATCATGGGGGACTTAAGGTTCACCTTTGGGATTCTATAAGGGTTAATGTTGGGAGCATACTACCCCAAAAAGGTTGAAGGTTAAAGGTTACCTACCCGACGACTGCGCTCATTCCAGCTTGGCAAGCTTGGCGGCTCAGAAGCTCCATAAAGTCGAATTTTCCCAAAGCTCAGTGCCCTGCCTCAGTGCCAGCTCCGAAGTATGCTCAGGTGGCACATCTACCCAACTTTTCCAGATCCAATGATCAGCGACGCGAGTGACCAGCTACCGTCTTCATAGCTGACAGCAGCTGGGACAAGAATGCCAGTGTTCGGCATGTCTTGAGCCAATCTTACTGGCTTTGGGATTGCAGCTCGACTTTGGCAAGGAGAAAACGAAACCGCGTGCAACTGCCGACTGCAGCAGCCTGCGGCACTGCCCCCCAATTCCGGCCTTACCCTGATGACACTGGTGGTAGGGTGAAGTGCAAAACCAGCAGGCATGTGAGGGTATACATGCGGACTGGTGAGACAACAAGGGCTTGGCCTTGGAAGTGAGCTGGCAAATTATGTCTCACAAGGAGGCCGTCGCTGGGCATGGTTTCCCAAGGTAAAAAGGGAGTCAGGTGCAGCAACTTGGGATGATCCTATGTGATAGAAGCAGTAATTCTTGGAGACAATCATGAACCCAGTGTCAGACAGCTAGGCTCACGCCAGCACCACTCCAAAGCATGTTAGCTCTTGCAGTGGTCGTGTACCGTTGCTCCGCCCTTGCTCCGCTGGAGACCTCCTGGTGCCAGCAGTTAAGCGAGCGTTTCTTCGGGTCCTGGTACCAGATGGAAGTCATAAATAGCAAGCCATCTCTCGTGACAGCCCCCGCCCCCCCAAAAAAGCAAAGCTTTCCGAGTGAAGTAGAATCGGCCCGTCCATGACCACATCGACACCACATCTCCAGTACATTTGTCGATGTAGACCGAGTGGTCCGGATCGTTGTTGAAATTTTCCTCGTCATTGATGTAATCGCCACACTGGTATGTGGCACCATCTTGGCGCCATGGATTCTCTTCGGTCATGCCAATTCCACCTCCACGTTCGTCCCATAAAACGGCCGACAAAAGAGTGGAGGGAATTAAGACAACGGCTCCTCCTTTCGACGAACATATCTTGTTGAGGGCCGCCTTCTCCGAGGGTCGGTTTGCTTCGACATACTCAGTACGGATGTTGAACCATCTTCCGAAGGCAGCATTCATCACACTGGCGATCTGGTCCGGGTAGAAACCATCTGCAAGCTTCCGAAAGCGGGGTCCCATTCCAGGATAACTCACATATGCATGATGATCATCTTCAGCGCAACTGCGCCCTGACGACAAGAAGTCCCTCCGAGCACTCATGCGGATGGCAAACATGCCCTGTAAGCCTGCGTTCGTAAAGGGACTACCTTCGGCAACCTGGCAATCAGCCGAATTCCCAGAGCACCCATCAGATCCGATGGATAAGGGCTGACCATCAGATCCCTCGGTACCTGGTTGATTCTCTGCAAATGGAATCACCCCAGGCGGCGTGTCTGAATAGATAAACGGACACCCCTCGTTTTTCGGGGTTCCATTGATGGTGCCCGTCCAGAACAATTCAAGACCCATCTTCATCGCACCGGCCGGGTTGGTGCTTGCCTTAGCTGTCAAAACTGCCGTTGGTGAACACTGTCCGCGGCCCGCTTGGTCGAAGTTCTGACGAAGGATTGTGTACATGATGTCGCAGAAAGCGTAGCCAGAGACTGCATTCGGGTCATTGATGGTCACGCTCTCAAACTTCCCGCCGGAGTACTTCACGGTGACGCCGTCGCCGCTTCCCCACGAAGGGAAATGACCAGGCCTGTTCGCATACCAGTTCACGACGGCCATACGCTTGAAGACCGGATCGAATCCCAACTGTTGGAGCTCCAGGTGAGCATTCATCGCTGCCCAGAAAGCTCGGCATGTGGGGTCCCTGGGTTTGCTGCCTCCACCCTCAAGCCGCAATACTGCGTGAGGTGCAGATTGTCCATAATCAGCTTCACCCCCACCCCTTTGTCCACCCCGGTGCCACGGAAGCTTGTAAAATCGATGGACGAGCATGCCCAGGCTGCGGTCTTGAAACTCCGACCCGGGTCTTCTGTTTCATCCTGGCTGATGAGGTTGGAGCGCACATAGCCTCCGCCTGCAGGAATGCCAGCGAAGTGCTTGTCGATGATGTCCTGTGCAGATCCAGACTTCGGGGTTGAGTGGTTCTGTGCCAGCTGGAGGAGATTTTGTTGCTCCGATTCCAACCAATCCGGGCCAGCTCTCACCAAACTCACGACGCTGAGCAGGACCACAGGCACATGGATCATCGCCCAAGAACTTAAACAGCTCGGAAATGAAGCTTGAGCCGCTTCTCCTCTGTGTTAAAGTAGAGGCCAAGAACACAAGCGCTGAACACACGTGCATCAAATGTGAAATCCGACAGGCAATGAAGGCATGGTAGGTTACAAGCACAAGCAATCGGCTGAGCGTTGGATGTAATTGGGAACGGGGCAAACTCTTGCGCGACCCGCTAACTTCTTGCTGTCTTGTTGCCAGGATCTGCCATGCTCCACGAATCTGCTGTCACAAGCGTTGGTTGCTTTGGGGAGATCTGCAACAAACAAGACCGGAGAGAAAAGAAAAACATAGCTTACACAAATATCAATCACTCTCTTATGTCGTGGATGGCCATCTGCATCGGCTGCTCCCTACCCTGTGCATTGAAGCATGGCGCACCAACTTGGCGTCTATAGGAAAAAGGTCATGCACGTTATACAGCTGTGCAACTGAATCTCCAGAACATGTCAACGGCCATGGCGAGTAGCTACAGCTACGACCGGGCGGTGATGGACAGCATGTTGGGGCCCGAGCGACGAACCGTTTTGACGATTTTAACGACACGCGGCTCGTTTGGCGACAGACTCTGTGCCAGAGTCCGAAATCCGGCACAACTTTGCATTTTCAAGCGATTTATGTTCATGCTTCTATTCGCAAAAGTTACACTACGCGCCTGCGCTCTCCGCTCAGGGCCCTCACCCTCTCGGGTTGCTACTGGCGCCCTTTGATTGTAACTGCATGTCGTCTTGCACTGCCCTTGCGAGGCCCACACAGGTGGGAAGCTGGGCTTGGAACTCGTATGCACGATTGCTGGCCCAACATTGTCCTTTATAAGTCCAGCCGCCATTGTCTGGTCATGCATTGCCCTTGCGAGACCCACCATGGGAAGCTGGGCTTCGAGTGCTGGACGACTGGCATGCTCTGGCGCATACTCTTTGCCCCCGCCATCGAATTGCATCGTGCGGTTTTTCTGGATGGTTTGGTTAGCTGGTGCTCTTGGCGACCTAATTGCCTTGCCCTTGCGAGTCCTGCCATGGGAAGCTGGGCTTCGTGTGCTTGACAACCAGCATACTCTGGCACATACTACCTTGTCCGGAGCCATCGTTCCGCTTCGGGTGGATCTATACAATGCACTGGACTAGTGACTAGTGCAATGGCGACCATGGGCGCTATCATCTGCTTCCACAGATGCTGGGCATTATGTGAGCCATTGCGCGACTCAGTGGGACTGAGAAGCGGGGCATCTGAGCTGGGTAGTAGATTCGAGCCACGCATATTCTGCCGAACGACCACTGCCGGCTAAGTTTGCAAGTCGCGGCCTGTTTCACCATCAATTTGTGGCTCTCTTTACTTGTACAGTTGTTTTTACCTTTCTTGTAGTTCTTACTGGGACCGAGTGCAGCAACTGCTGTCTTTGAGGCCCGCCCACGCCAACAAAAAATAAGATGCCCGGTTTAGCTGTGCATGGCCTCTGCAGCCCTTCACCAGCTTCATTGGCTTCTTCGTTGAGCACCGGTGTCATCGTTCCCCGCCAGATGTGATTGCTCCACTATCGCGTTCATGGACGTCTCTTGCTGGGTGGGTACGTGAGTGCGGGCACGCGGTTCTTCTCATCAGTCGATGGGAAGATGAACAGCAGTCTCGGTCAGAGTTGACGATAGCACCCTGGTAGCAATAGCTTGGTTGACTTCGCGAAAATACGTTTCCGAACGACCGGAATGCTGTGGTTCCTGCATGTCTTGCTGACTTGTTCCCAGTCTACGTCGTCCGAGTGCGTGGAGGGCAATTCCTGGACACCAATCTTGTACTTGGCGAGGCTCGGCAACCTCTTGACGAGTTTGAAGATTGCGAGCTTCAAAGGCTCGGAGCGGATTCAGAAACGAAAGGGTTGAGCCTACAGTCTCGGACATGGTTACCTCGACTCTCCCCCTGGGGGTGCTGAGTGTGGTAGTAATCCTCCCTGCCCTTGCGAGACCCCTTGTGGGAAGCTGGGCCGTGTGGTGCGGTGATGATGCTGCCTGGGTACGGCAAGTACCTTTCCACCTGCTACGCCACCCATCTGATGCATGTGGGCGCTGTTGACGTGATCTCTGGAGCATTTTGCGAGGAAGTCCAATTGGCCCTGGCCCTTGCGAGGCCCGCTGTGGTGGGAAGCTGGGCATGGGCGTTTTTGCATGGCTACCTCGACTCTTCCACTGGAGGTGCTGAGTGTGCTGGCATTCCTCCCTGCCCTTGCGACCCTTTGTGGGAAGCTGGGCCGTCTTATTATATGCCATCTCGATTTGCCCTTGCGAGCCCTGCCTTGGCAGGAAGCTGGGCCTGAATTCATTATCAGCATATACCCTGGGCTACTCCCTTGATGCTCGGAGGTATTTTTCGCCGTCGGCCGCACCCTCTGGCCAAACCCTTGGGTTGCCGGCCTATACACTGCACTGGTGAGCTGGTTTGTGCTGCCAACTATACCAAGGGAAAACATATGTTTGCCATTGCGCAACTCAGTTCAACTGAACTGGGGAGCGGGGCATCTGAGCGAGGGTAGCTGATAGTCTGTGCATCTTGCCGAACGACGTCTGCCGGCTAAGTCTGCTAGTCGCGGCTTGTTTCACCGTTAATTGCTTTGATTGTACAGTTTCTTGTGTTCTTGACTTTTTGGTAGTTCTTGTTGGGACCGAGTGCAGCAACCTGCTGTCATTGAGGCCCGCCCACGCCAAAAAAAAGCCTACAGCCTCGGACCAAAAACGAAAGATCGTTGCGCCTCAGAGGCGTAGGACGCAACGATCTTCGGCCTTTTAGGCAAAAAATTTCCTCGTAATCGGACCTTGGCGATTGTGGACTTTCTCACTCCGCTCACTCCGCTCACTCCGCAAGCTCCGTTCGCTTCGTTCGTTTCGCTCGAGTCCACAATCCAAGGTCCGATGTCCTCGTAAATTTGGTCTAAAAGGCCGAAGATCGTTGCGTCCTACGCCCCTGAGGCGCAACGATCTTTCGTAGGCTCAACACCCTTTCGTTTTTGAATCAGCTCCCTTGTAGACGATCGATTGTGGGCACCCTCTACACAAGAGAGAGGAAGAAGGTGCCAGAACATCCAGATTTGCCCGCTCTTTTGAGTGAGATTGGAAGGGCCAGATCAGAGAAAATTGAGGTTGATGGCAATTAGGTCAGTAGCTACCGTTGCGGTTTGTCCAGCGGACTGCGGAAGAACGGATGCTCATGATTCGAAGCTCGGCGGAAATGCTCATCTTGCCAACCCGCCGCATGGAGTTGCGGGAACAAGCGAGCCCAAGAAGTCTCCGAAGATCGATGCGAAGGAATGTGCGAAGTCCATTCTGCGTCAGAGCAAGACATGTTTGTTGGACAGTTCTGTGCATTCCACTACATGTTGAGAGTTTTGCGATCGGACGTGAGTGCATCGAAGTGTTTGCACGAGCGCTGCAGCTTACAGCATGACGTTCATGAGATAGGGCCTGTGCTGGAGCAAGCCACCTTGAAGGAGTGTGCGTCCGCAGCTGTTTTTCAACCACCGTTACGTCAAACCCCATCTTGAACAACGAGTTGGCTGAAGCAGACGTGTGTTGCAACCAGAGCTTGTTTTATTTTGCAAACTTGCAAGTTGGAACATGAAGAGCCCATTGCGCATGTTGAAAATTCACGCAGCGAAGACATGTTTTCCACTGTTTCGTTTTTTGAGCTTGAAAAACCGTTTTCACGCACCCAGCAGTTACGTAGCATCGACGACAGCACTTGTAACAACAGCATGTTTGCACGCGTTTCAATGCTTCAGGTCGACAAAGCCACTTTTCAACCTGACATGCCTGGCCAAACCAACAGAACCGTTGATCGCATGTTTGAGCTTTCCCAAACAGAGCCGTTGCATGACATAGATGTTGTTTTGGCAGAAGACGTGAGTGTATGCGCATCGTTGTCTCATGGGGTGCAGGGTTCAGGACGTTTAGGAAGTGCGCCTCAAGGCAACTGTACTGCTTGGTTGCGTGGATTGACAGAAACTTCTTTACACGAAAGGTCCGAGTCCAGACTCCGAGGATTGCCACAAGTGATTGACGTTGAGCCTCAAAGTCCCCCAAGCGTCGTCGCAGAACCGTCTACAAGTTCAGATCCGAAAGGCCTTGAGAGACCATCGGGAGGAAGTGCAGAAGCTGAGGGTTTGCCACCTGAAGACCTGTTTGAAGATGACGTTGATTTAGAGGGCAAGGCGCTTGATGCCCACCGCACGGCATGTCGTGAGTTTGTTGTTTTGGTCGACAGTGTTTTCGGTAAGTACTTGAGCTTGCACTGCTTCGCTCCGCGCTGCATTGTTAGCTCAAGCTGTCGACCCGGATCGCTTCCGTTCTCGCTAGCAAATTTTTTTTCACCCACCCACCCAACCCGGAGGGGGAGACAAGCTCGGCAACGCTTTGCCCGGCTCTTCCTTACTTTGGGCATCGCATTGCCTCGCACCGACTTCAAGCATCCTCCGCGAGTAAAAAAGAGAGCGCTGTCTCGTTTTGTTGCTACTACGCTATGCAAACTCACAGTACTCTTACTGAGAACTTTTCCGTTCATGAGGGAGTGTGTGGAGTGCAGGGTGTGTAAGGGGATGATTCCTGCAAGAAGTCGTCGTAGCAAGGCTGTTGGACCTTACCCAAGGGCCCTGCGCTTGCAAAAAAACACAGTGCTTCAGGTATTCCAGGATTGCTTGCAGCGGACGGAGCGCTGCTGACTGCAGTCTGTCAGGCCAACCCACACGCAAAACTAAAAATATTTAGGTCAAACTAATGCAAAGCCACGGCTTTTTGCTGCTTGTTGTTGTCTCGAATTCACTGAGAAGGCGGCAGATGAAAGATTGCGCAGGCATTCGTGTGTTTTTAAGAACCTCTGTCTTTGTACTTTTCAAATAGTTTCGCTGTGCACACACGAGGCAGCGCATTTAGTCGGGAATGGGGAGCACCCCCAGAATGTCCATAGAAAAGTAAAGCCGATCGGCCAGACCAGG